TTTGAAAGGTAACCAGAAAAATTTGTCATGTATTTAACCATGTTTTAGCAAATTGGCTTCACGTCATTACAACTGTAAATCGGATTTTGCAAAGTAGTTCAAAGCAAATCACATTTACTTTAGAAATATCCGAATGCCGAGTAATTGCTCCAATAGCTGCTTGATTCGACAACTTAATGCTACAGAAGTTGCAAAATGGCAGATTCAGAGCAATGGTAAGTTAATTAACTTTTTGATTGTATGATTATTTTTCCCCTAACATCTTTTTTATTGACACACGCAGTAAACATGACTGTGGGGGAAGTCGACAGAACCAAGCCCTTGAATTTTTGCTAAAGTCTTAACTACTAAGTGTTCCTTATGCATTCTGGAATAATAGAAGCGAAGCAAAGATTAGAAGTGCCGAAACGTAAGCCTACAAATGAGAGGATGATTTGATTTCGCTACTACTTGAGTCTATGCTCTACAAACAAATCGCTTGCAATAATGTGATGTAAAAAAGTCCTTTTCTATGAATTCTAAGCCCTATTTGTCCAGGTTTTCGTGAGGTGAAGCTAATAGAATCTTTCTTGAAAGAAATCTCGTACAGAAATCTGGATTTTGCGGAAGAAGTTGGAGTCACTCAAGTTACTTTCATGGTTCAGAAATATCAAATCACTTTACTGTGATGGCAGATGGGAAGTTATTCATTTCGTCACTTCCACAATCACCCCCTCCATGGGCGCTCTCGCTAATTCTTTCCGACAAAGAGGGTCGACAGAAGCATCTTTCAATTAGAATTTTAGAACCGAGTTCAGCGGTAAGCTCATATCATCACTTCTTTTCATGATTGATCAGTAGTCTCATTTAGATACCGACAGAACCAGTGAGGCTCTCTCCTTTGCTTCCCATCGGCTCAAAAGTTGCTAGTTTGGGTTCAAAGACGAAGAAGAACAGAACTTCGTTTTACTCACTGAAAAATGAGGTAAATCAGCTTAGAACGGTGGAGCTAGACAAGCAACAATTATGCAGTAGTTTTTCATTATCAGAAGTGATTTTTCCAGTCTTCCTTCTTCGAATTGGACCAAGCAACTGGAGATATTTACCTCATCAGGAAAATACGCGATATGCAAGATCGTCGGATCTCCCTTTATTATAATCAGATCGATGCTACAACATCTGAATTGGAAGGAAAACAAATCGATTTTGAAATTGGGAATGGATCCGTCGAAGCACCATACTTCGCTGAAGACTTCATGCGAGTTACTGTCCCAGAGGACGCTATTATTGGTTTGTCATTAATTGCTTTGGGTTTTATTAGCCTTTGAAGGGGCAAAATTTAGGCACAGTCATTGCTACTCTAAATGCTACGGGTTCTGGTCCTTTGGCATCAC